TTACTGCTTTCCATTTGAGTGAAAGAGGAGCTCTAAGCTGTACCGTGCACGATGCCCTGTGTTCCTTTTAAGAAAGCTTCGAGCTCTTACGCGCCCGAAATTGGATTTCCCTTGTCCCCTCATGCACCACCTATTTGCTTGGGGCTTGTAACACTTTTGTGGTTATTTACGTACTGTGAATGTCAATTCAAATGTGTTAAAAATGAACAACTTGCAAAATGAGCTGCTCCGAACGAACTGCACCAGAGCTTCACGCACTCAAATGGAAAGCAGTAATAGATATAAGCATTGTTTATTAACAATGATATAAGGTTGAAACCTATAACCCCCGCACTACTCGTAACTATTTCACTCTTTTCCCGCGCTTTCGCCGGTTAGGCATGCGCAGTAGGCATGTCGTGTGTATTTATTTGTTTAGAAATGGTACTATAACTTTTCAAAATTGGCGGAATGGAAATGGAAGAAATAGGGAAAAGAATTAGGGAATACGGTCAGAAGAGAAACCAAGCAGCTTTGCAAATATACGTAAAGGAATTGGACGTAAACGTGGTATATAACTTGAATGAATTGTATACTGTTTATGTTTCTAACCTATTGCTTTTTGTTAGTTGGTCTCATTTGTTGCACAAAAATACAATTCGCCAAATTTTAATTACATCTGGGATTACTTGATGCAATCTTTTACCAGCTCGCCAGAATGTCATCGAAAAAGATTTGAAATAGTTTCGACTTTATTACACGAATTGGAGAAGGGGCTTATTACCAGCTCGCAATGTAATAGCATTATAACACGATTGTGTGTAGAATTTCCAAAGTTTAAGCCATTACATCTGATTCGTTTATGCAGTTTTTGTTTGGAGTGTATACAAAAGGGAACAGTGTCCGAAATGTGGTTTGTATTATAACGATGTTCATTACAAAGATAGAAATTTTCATGTGTTCTAGCTGGAAAGATACGCTACCTGAGATTTCGAATGTGTTGATTGACTGTAGCCATGTGGAATATAATGATCAAGATATGTCTGGGTTAGAGTATAAAGCACAGTTAATTAATTCTTTGTGTATGATGACGTGGTCTCCTGCGATTGTAACATCACTGGCATCTATGTTTACGTGAGTACGACAATAAAACAATCAACTATTATAAACCATAATGTAAGTTTATGTGCACAGGCGTGTAAGACTTTTCGAGAGCTTTTATTAATTGATGCTCACAATATTTGCTTATATGCAATAAAAGTGTCATAGTTAAGCTGCTGAGCTTGAGCGAAGTGACCTGTGCTCGCAATGTGAGCATTTTCCTCACTTTCGCATGCAAACTAAGACTTAACCATTGGTAACACCATTATTCTGGTGTTGACCTAAACAGCTCATACGATCATTTGTGTAGGTAGACCGTTCTAAACCTTCCAGGTCAGGGTCCTTCAGTAGAAAACAACACTGGCGTTCGGTTTTCTTAATCGTATGACAGTATTTTCTTGTTTTTGTGCGCATTTTCTCGCCCCCTCTCATTCTCGTTCAAAACCCTACAAACATTTATTCCGAAACGCATGAAACAATTAAAACAAAATCCATGAAAGAAAGAAATGTTTGTTAGGACGTAATACTCCGCACGCAGGCGGTCGATAATTAAAAATTTTAAACAATCTTAAACTATTTACAGTTTTTTTTCAATAATTCAAATAATATGGTTTGCGATATAGGTGCACTAAACTCACACAAACGCAAACAGCTTCTGAATTTCAATTTTCTTAGTACCACCGAACATGATGACAACATCTGGTTTGATGAGTAAAATGAACAAATTCGGTGGCTGCTCAGAGGGTAGAAACTTTTAATGAAAGACACTCCTTTAGGGTTATCAAAAACCACGCCAATCACAATATTAGAGTTGATAACGTCAGCTTCGAAGGAACGCATCCCCACTTACGCCGAAAAAATGCGCAATTTTTCGACTCACCTTATCTCTTCTAACAGCTATATAAAACGTGCGTTAAGTAAATTTCGCCTGATAAAAACTCCTTATCGCAAACGACCAGATGTACCTACAATTTCACGTTTTTTCAAATAAATACACAATTCTAAACAAACAATTTACAAAAGAGATAAAATTTAAAAAGAAAATAATACGCAATTACAAACAAAACAAAATGAAAAGAAAAACAACACTGAGACACCAATTTAAATACAATAAACCAACTCTGTGCTTATGTCATAAATAATCAACAGATTTATACTTAATAAATTGAAATATTCTCATATTAGACCGGGAGATGATGACACTTTTTGTGGTGTGATTTGCTACAAGTATGGCGACCATTCAAAGGTTTAATTAAGTACTCCTCGAAACGAAAATGGTGCTAACTCTCTGAAAGTGGGGCCGTTATTGCGTGACGATTGTTTAAACATGTCGGAAAATTTAATGATTTTGGACAATTTGCTACACAAAATTCTTTGGATTTTCTGGTAGTCGGTGACAAAACAAATGACGGAAACGAAATGCCATACTTTTCCGTTGGGCCTTATAGCCCGCCATACTCATTTGAAAGTGTCGATTGTTTGTAATTTTTTTGGGTGATTTGCTACAAGCTCATTTTTTTATGAGCATCAAGTCCTCAATCAGTCATTCACGAAAATCAACCTGCCATACCGCAGCGACGGGCCCGCATACCCGCCATACCGGCACAAAGATGTCATTTTTGTTAATAATTTTGGGCGATTTTCTACACCCTATAAATTTTTCCACCAGTTATTTTTATAGTCAGAAATAGAAATTTCGATACGCCATACCTGTGGCATGGGCCAATTATGTATAATATTTTTTCAAAAATGTAAGAATTTTCCGAAAATTTGGGCGATTTGCTACAGTATGGCACCAATGTTTCGTGACAGTTTGAGGTGTAATAAAAGTAAATATCAAGTTTAAAACATGAATCCCAGGCCAATCTTGTTTTATCACGAGATGTTATGTCGCTTAATATTCTCCGCCCCACTCGAATTTCTTCAAGTTGAAGAGGTCCCGGTCGGGGTCGTTGTGTTCTGCATTGCATTCAATGGATCGCAGGTAGTGAGTAGCAGCTGCCGTCAAGTTTATACTACCCTCCATAAGTACACCCAGTGTACTTTGATCAATTTTGATAAAATTTTCAGGGCAGTTGTATTTATTCCGAATTAAGAAACGATGAAAATTTGAACATTATACAAATTAAAATAACACTAATAATAATAATAATAAACGTTTAAACAAATATAGCAAACGAGCTCCTGGGTATGGCTATAGCATGTTCAAGACCAAATTTTGCACCTCTAAGTGCATATAGGTATCAAATTTCATTTAGATGCTTTCATAATTAAGAAAGTTGACACTGCATCTGAAATACCCATCAACATAATTTTATATATTTTATATATTATTATAGTCCTGAATATTACGGATGGAAGTTAACGCACACAGATAATTATAAATTTAATTGCTTCGACGGCGACGACATGCCCACTACTGTCGGATATATCATTCTGGATCGCATTGACCAAGAGAATGAAAATCAAATCGATTTGAGTAGTGTCGAGGGCAATGGGAACGAAACAGAAGAGACCCATGACGATGTTGAGGAATCCGATACCGATGACGAGTAATTGTTAAACGCGAGTACGATATTATATCTTGTCGGGATAAGTTAATCAATTTAGAACAATTATTCTTTTGAATGGATTGTGTTACCAATTTTTAATAATAAAATCATTTTTCTGAAGCTCGCGAGAAGGTCGTTTTTAAGGTTTCTTGCTTGTCCCAGTTATAGCACAAAGATGTTTTAAGAAAACAGATTTTCGAGTATGGCGCCATCTTTAGCCTTCATGACGAGTATGGCACATATATCATGGATCAATGTGGAGTATGAACTTTCAGAAAATCCAAATGCCATACTGTAGCAAATCGCCCAAAATTATTAACAAAAATGACATCTTTGTGCCGGTATGGCGGCTATGCGGGCCCGTCGCTGCGGTATGGCAGGTTGATTTTCGTGAATGACTGATTGAGGACTTGATGCTCATAAAAAAATGAGCTTGTAGCAAATCACCCAAAAAAAATACAAACAATCGACACTTTCAAATGAGTATGGCGGGCTATAAGGCCCACCGGAAAAGTATGGCATTTCGTTTCCGTCATTTGTTTTGTCACCGACTACCAGAAAATCCAAAGAATTTTGTGTAGCAAATTGTCCAAAATCATTAAATTTTCCGACATGTTTAAACAATCGTCACGCAATAACGGCCCCACTCCCAGAGAGTTAGCACCATTTTCGTTTCGAGGAGTACTTAATTAAACCTTTGAATGGTCGCCATACTTGTAGCAAATCACACCACAAAAAGTGTCATCATCTCCCGGTCTATATGTTTTGACTCATTGTGCGTAAAATGCTTAGATATCTCATTCCGTGTAACCCCTTCTCAGGTTTAATTTTATCTATGCAAAATTGGTGAAACAGTAAGAAAAATTATACATAAACCCTTGTGAAAAAGTCCTTCCTTGAAACGTATAATATCCGCCTTATATCCCTTTAAGAATTCACAACAGTTGTAAATTATATTGCACTTCGGTTAGCGTGTTATCCTTTCTTTCTTCTAATGCTGACATACTAATCCTTTACCTGTACCGGCCGTAAAATACACGGATTGAGAAATTTCAAGAAAAAGTGGGTATTAGGAATTCTATTAATCTAGTTGCATAGGTAAGTGAATTTGCATAAATACCAAGAAAGTCTTGGATTTGACGTTTACTTAGTAGCCACGGTACACTCACACCTGTACGCTAGGACGAGGGACGAAAACTCGTCGACTGTGCTCATGACAAAATATAAAAATTTTAATGTTCCAGGGGTTCAAAGATAATACTTATCTTCGACTAACAATAAATAAACATTTTACAAAAAAGGTATTAAGTATAATTATTATAGGCACAAGCAAATGTTGAAATTATTTCATTTAAACTAATATTGTTTACTAAATCTTTTTCTATGGATACCTATGCTATAATTTGTAGCAATTTGAAATAGTGTGTAGGGTAGGTAGTAGATAGTTAGGGTAGTTCAGGTTAGAGCTGTATGATATTTTGCATAGTTTTAGGCAAATTTAACACTAGATTTAACAATTTAGTTATCATAAGGTCATTTCCCACTTGGAAATTCTTGGGATATCAATTTTGGGAAAACGTATATTTTTCGAGGTAGAGTGGATTGGGTTAGCTTTTCGTGCGGTTAGGGAGATAGACAATTATAATTATTAGAATTCACTGTTTATCAGGATTTATCTCCTAGCTCCTGTATCTGATACTGGTTGGCTGATCGAATTGATGGTATAGTTGGGAATCAGTATAAGTAGTTTGTTTTATCAGATTTGAAGCAGCCTGAAGGTAAATTTAATTACAACTTTTCTAAATTATTAAAGCTATCATTTACAGAGAATACCAATTGGGAATTTGATTAGTGTATATAGTTAGGAAACAACGTCGAATTAGAATATTAGGATGGTGGTCATAAGTTTGAGGTAGGATAAATAATTGATAGGTAGTGTAGTATTAAAACTTTGTAATTTGTAGTTTAGAACATTGCGGACGAGTTGCAAGCTATAACATCTAGGTAAGAATTAGGTATCTCTTAAGCTAGATATAGAGTATCTCATAACTTTCAGCTTTTTTTGTTCCGCTGCCTAAAATCTGGCACTTACTGGTACCTTACCTTGCTGCATCTGCGTTTGTTCTGAAATAAAGTGGGAGAATAAAAATTAATTAATCATAAAAATTTTAATGATTCCAGGGGTTCAAAGATAATACTTATCTTCGACTAACAAGCTAGCGAATCCAGAACCCGTATTAATTACCGTAGTAAGATATTGTTGACACTGTTGATTTTTGCGGTGTGGACGAAGAATCCTATTAGTTTTTTTCCTTTATTATTGTTAGCTTCACACCACAATTATAATTTGTAGTTACATACTAGGTAATCATATTTAATTTTAAATCGAAATACAGACGTATTAAATTCCTCTCTGCCACAATACCTAGACCTTCATTATGCTATGCTTGGAAGAGCCTATTGATCAAGAGGATTTATTACCTCGCTAGATCTGGCGCCCTTAAGATTTGAGTTTTGTAGTAGCAAGTTTTCCTGGCAGAATACCGAACTTTACGACCCTCACGTTGAATGTTAGCCGGCTACTGAGTATAAGTCCAAGTTTAGTAGTGAATTTGTATTCTCCTAATCAGATAGTAATTTTATTTCGCAGCAAATTACAACATTTGTTAACAGCTTTTGTGTCATTTACCATCGCAATTAATTTACGTAACTCTCACCCTTGATTTGATCACAAAAATCAACAACTTTAAGACCTGTTCCGTTTAAACTCTTGATATTGAGACATAAACACAAAACACACACTGATCTCGAATTATTTTACATTAATTGCTTATTAAATGTCTTCCGCACAAATCGAGGCAAATGCTTCTATTTATAGGATTTTTATTAGCAAATTAGCGTTATTCCAGTGCCCTAATGTCGTATCCGCATAGGTATTTCACTACATAATATCATTGTATTAAGGTAAAAAGATAAAACGTAATTCCCACAATCTCCAATGTACCACTCTGAAGATTTGCGGCCCAGCTGTCGTCAGAGATGCCCACTGGCATACCGGTGTAAGTGTATCGTGTTAGTAGCCTAAAATCTCACCTGTAACAGAACTGACTTTTTTGTCGCAAACGTGGCATTACAAATCACCTAATCTGCTACATATCGGCGCAAATTCTGATTCTAAATCTGCTTAGGGAGTTACTACTGAAAGCAAAGTGGTATATCTAGATACTACCCAACACTGCGCTATACCAAAAAACAACTTTTACACTGATGCAAAAAATCCTTGTATCTGGTTTTAATGTAATTTTCATTTTAGTGATATGCCTTTAACCAAAGAAGAACATTTACAAGTGGTAAATAAGTTAGGGCAACATATGGAAAAGTTAACTTGCCAAGAACTGCCTGCCTTTGTTTATCAATTATTAAAATTATGTCGATACCAAAATTGCCGTTCAATATACTTAAGATTGCAGAACTATTTTGGGACTAGAACTTACAGCAAACCGGATAGATTATGTAATTCTGAATCTGAAACGCCAGATTTAGATATTATTGGTAAATTTCTATTGTTGACAATTTGTCAAACTTTTAAACTATATTTTAGAGGAGTCCGCTCAAGATGCAATAGAAGTCGAAAGCACAATATTATTTCACATTTACCAATCTGCTTCTACAGGAAGTGAGAGTACTAAAGATTTCCTTACTTCTTTTAAAAATATGATGAAATCGCCCGAATTTATTTTGCACCCATTCCAAATTACTGTATTGCTCACAATTTCAAATATCTCCACCAGCGAAGAGCAGATAATGGACGTTTTGAAAGCCAGCATTTCTAAAGCCGTTCAAGAAGATTTAAAGAAAATGGATTCCTGCTGGTTTAGGGAAATGGTACCATCAACATGCAAAGTGGAGGATGTAATTAATCAAGTTATCGAATGTAGGTAAGTGCTTTTGAATGAACACAAAAAATGTTTTTTGATGGAGCGACTTTTTCAGTATAGCCGAGCGGTATTTAGTGGTTCAAGGTTTAGTACAATTGGCATACACATTGCTGGCCGTTGGGCAAATGTTAGGTCGTGATGGTGACTTGGCTTGTGAGCGTCAATGGCGAATGGGAAAGATGATTCTATTGAAGGTTATTAAAAAAAAGAGACAAACAGCATCATCTATCATTACTGCTTTGATCAACCACATCGTCACTGGAAGAAGCGTTACCCAATATATTGGTAAGTTGGAATGTTGTGCAATAGAAAGTACGTTTCAGTAGACAATTTGCCAAAAGTAGCGCAGCAAGTTCGATATCATACTACTTATATTTCACTGCTGCCTTGACGCCATTGTCAAATTTTATTATTAGACAATAGAAATGGTAATAAACGTTTGCTGGAAACATACCAGGCTATATTATGATTTACATTTAGTGTAATCTTCCTACAAATATATGTAATGTTACATTGTTCTAAATGCTTTCTGCATTTTAGAGATAAAATCAGATATTTTTTTTTCGAAAACATCTGTATTATAATAAAGTTGTTGCGGAATCTTTAAACATCTACAATTTTATTTACAAAACGAGGCCGAATATAATTAATTTTAATATTTAAAATATTATTTTAGATTGTATCTATACATTATCCCAAAAAATGCCTTTAGTAATGTTGGAAAACCAAAGCAGCATTGTTGAACTTTTGGAATACTTAGTTCAAGGTCCAGGATCAACAGCAAAGTTGATATTGAGTGCCATTTTACCATTGATTAAAATTTCCTCGACCATTAGAGATCATTTAATATTGCTGCTGCGAAAGTCATTATACTCGCGGTAACTGTGGTATATTTTTGATATTCCTTTACACATCATGCTGGTTTTAGGGTAATGGAGACGAAACAAATGGCGGTAGCAGGTTTTCTGAAGTTAATAAAAAACTTAAAAGTATCTAATTTGGCAGTACTTAGTCAATCTTCATCAAGTTCAATGTCCTCAGGCCATTCGGTACTTACCCAAGTATCCCTAAGCTGCACGGGAAGAGCCAGTAATGTTTTTACAAATGAAGCTTTGTGTTTGGAAGTTCTCGGAATTTTGCGGCGTTGTTTTATGCAACAAGCGGAAATCAGACACGAATTGTATGATGGTCTGTATACACATTTGATAAACTACTCAGATAACGCTCTGTGACTGTTTAGGATTGTATGATGCAGTTTGTATGAACCCAGAATTAGGCATACCAGTTATTGACATACTATCGATACATTTCAATGAATTTTACATATCTGATCAAAATGAACTTCCACCTCTTAAGTTTTCTAACATTACTATTGTTAAAGATGTTGAGGTTAAATTATTGGTAGGTGTAAAGCACAGCTTAGCGAATTTGTTGTTATTTTTTTTTTCAGGAACCACTGGGAAAATTAATTTTCACAATTGGTCTCATTGTCACAAAGATACAAGAAGAACATGATGATAACGCGACTATTATTGAAATAAGAAACACGTTAGATTCTTTGTGTACTCGTATGAGCACCTGCGAACTTATTCATTTTGAGCTTGTAAGTACCTATCTCATGACTGCAAAGGACTACAATTTTATTGGTGTTAAAATAGGACGATGGAACTGACTTACTGGACAATGTTCCAGAGTCGGAACACAAACTGTTTGTTCTCAAGGAAGCTTTATCGATATATGAGGCTTTAATAGGCTACAAGATTTGCACTTGGGGACCTCACTCGAACAATACTGGACAACAGATCAATAATCTTTTTCAGTGTCATACACGATTAATGGATTTTTCAAAAGTAAGTTAAAGTGTGAAATACTCCTTCATTACAAGTGGACGTAACATGGCTTAGATGTTGGCCAAAAGCATTCAAAGAGGTTTGTCCAACGTATAAATTGGATCCACACTCATTTTTAGCGCATTTTTTTTAATTCGTTACGGCTGGCTGTCTGTCACTCTCCTCTTGTAAAAAGTCGCACGGTTTCTAGCTCTCAAAAATGTGTGCATCAGCGTAGATTGTATACAATATGTAGAGTGGAACATCTTCAACGGTAGAACTTTATCTGGAAAGTGTTAGAGGAGAGTATATTAATTACACAAGGATAAGGAAGGAGAGGGAAAATTTTAGGGCGTTAAATCTACCAAATCTCACTAAGAATCTCAACGATGTTGAAAGTGCCACTTGTCTACAATATTTTTCTAAATTTCAAAGGGTATTTTATTATTAGTAAGAGAATATTCTTCACTGCAAGAAATATCTTATTAATTCTTTCAGTTTCATTCTCCAGCCCCCTCCCTCCGCCAGCCCTTGCAAAACGAGCGATTACACGTTTTGAAATTTTTGATAAAGTAGGTATTTGCAATACTCGCACTACTTCATAAATACCGCTTTTTTGGCAATTTAAGTAGCTTCTCTTTATATTTAAAAAATACCCCATTTTTCTATAGCGGGAAACATTAACTTTCATTCCCCACTCTGGTCACCCCGGACTGCATCCATACCAGCCCATCGCTTGACATTTTCTTCACTAAAATTCATTAAAACGGACGTCTTTCACTTTGAATATCTTATATGATTCAAGGCTCCGCCCCGCCCAGTTAAAGGGTAAAATGCGCACTATCAAGAAGATATGATACGCCAAAGCAGAAAGTGCCGATTTAACGCTATTCTTGTTCTTCATAAATGACCAGGAAAATAACAATCATATTCTTTGGGAAATTGTTACTTCCTTTGTTGTTTAATAAGTGTGTGCGTATCGGTTTTTTGTTATTGATTTGTGGCAATAAAACATAGGTTTTTTACATTGAATAACTTGTTTGGCTACAATATAATTACTCCCAAAGTTATTGAAACTTTAATGTTTCACAAATATTTCAAGATAGTTTGACATTGAATACCTACTTTTGTTTCATAGCCACCTTTTGTTTTTGTGTGTAAATTTTGCTTTATTGTTTATTTTATTCTTCATTTTTCAAAAATCTTGAATAACTGGAAACCCTTTGATGCTGGGTGTAGGGTAGGGGTCGGCAACCTATTGAAACAGAAGAACCAAAATTACAATTTACAAAATTTCCCAGTTTTTAAAGAGCAACAAAAAAATTTTGATTCAATATTATAGTATTTGGCTATATACAGGGTCCTGCAACAGTGCGTCGGTTTTTCCTACATAGCTGATACCTGGTAAAAAATATTGGTGGTTGGGATCTACAGGAATTATTTTTGAATGTACGGGGTGTCCCATTTTACGATGTCAATAAATAACTGATCTTTTTAAATAGAACATCCTGCATATTTTTACTTGTTTCAATGCCATTTGTTCAAAGTGCTATAACTATTCTTTTTGAAATGGAACTACCACTATTTTATTTCGCTATTCGATTGTCTTTTGTGTTCTCTTCCATGTTTATAAGGGGTGCCCTGTGCTTAAACCCCGCAGTTTTTATGTTATTCAATATTTTTCACAAAAGTACCTACTCATTAATTAATTACGTGTTTATACATCAGAGTAGGCTATATATATAATAAAAAAACAAAAGAATACCAGAATGTAAACAAGTGTCACAAATTAGATAATTATTTGCTGCAAGTGTACTTTTGATTTCGTAAACAAATAAGATTAATTGAAAAGGCGAATTTCGAACAATTGAACTAATTTCTTTAGATAAATACGGAGAGCCGCAGGTTGCCGACCCTTGGTATAGGGAAATGTGATATCAAACGACGTAGATATTCATGTCAATTTCGAAAATGCAATCAAATATGATCATAATGATAATATGATGTTAATATTTTCTTTCGATATATCATGAAAAACTATGTTGGTATGCAAATTTTCAGATTTAAATTATTAATGGAAGGTAACAGTTTGCTTGAAACAGCCTGTATATTACCAGTAGGGCAGATAGTAAGAGATAGGTAGGTAGTTTAAACTTGGCAAAGTTGCGTATTTTGATGCTTAACAAAATGCCGTTTTAAAACTGAAAAAATTCCGACTACTTTCGGAGATATCCTGAAAAAAACGAAATTTCAAAATAAATCATTATTGTGGCCACTTTTTTCCCCTCTGAGATATCCTGAAAAAAACGAAATTTCAAAATAAATAATACATTATTGTGGCCCACTTTTTTCCCCTCAGTCCAATTTCTGGAGCAGATTACAACTACATACATGTTAAAAAGTTAGAAAGGTTATTAAGGACGCGGGGTAGTGTACACCCCTTAATAAATAATAATAATAATAATAATATTTAATTGACTGTAAAATATGCTTACAAACAATATAAATAAACATAAGAAACAGTAAACGTCTACAAACTTCACACAAATGTACCGAATTACACTATACAATTTATAATTGTCGTTTATTGAACAGTAACAATGGCTCGACACATTACTCTAATTCTCGACCGTCTTTCTTAGATGTCGCGTAGGTGTGCCTATGAGTGTGGGTCTCGCAGCTTCGTGCAACCATTGGCCCGTATGAATAAAAGTAAGCAAATGCTTCTACTTGCAAAATTCAAAGTAAATACTTGTAACTGCCCCTTCCTCCTGGTCTGTTTAGCATGATTTAGCAGCGCTGCACTGCATCCTGCCCTTCTACTTAGAAGCGCTGCTAAGTCGCCCAGTGCGAAGGAGCACTTACGAGTATTTACTTTGAATTTTGCAAGTATAAGCATTTGCTTACTTTTATTCATACGGGCCAATGTATAGCTGCCTTAGCGAGTCATAATGAAACGTGATGTTCTCATATTTAACGAAGTTCCGCTTTGCAAACATATCTAAAGTGAATTGTAAAGTGACAACAATTATTTTTAATTGAAGTGGTAATTAGGCGGCGATCTTAACATTTTTTGTCGCCGATGAAAGTAGGGGCTAACATTATTGTCGTCATAACCCGCTTAGTTTTGATGCTAGGGACTTATTTTTAAAAAAACAGAAATAAAGGTTTTTCCAAGCACTTCAAAAAAGGTTCTAGAGTTTTTCCCAAAAAATGCATTGTTTGGTTATTTCAGATTGACACTTTCAATTTTGGTGTTTGCCAAATAAGTGCAAATCTTAACAAGCTACTCACTAGTGCTATGTTTGTATCTTTGATAAAATACGTACTTTTTGAGTTATTCACGAAAACCGTCTGAAAACGTGGGTTTTTTAAAGTTAATAATTAAGTAATATTAAAACAATTAAAAATAAGTTAGTTTATTTCTAGAACCTTATCAAATCAAAAAAAGGAGACAAAAAGAAGCACACACCCGATGAAACCAGAAATACACAGGGTGCACAAAATGCTACACATAATGACACGTCGACCAAGAGTGCACCTAAAGCTTTTGAACCTAATAAGACTATTTTAGACTTCCAAACGCTTGGGAAAGTTTTACACTTGCTGCATGAGTAAGTAACTGTGAAGTGTATATTTGTAACTTATGCCTTTTGCAGCTCCAACGTTAACTGGACAACTGCTCCAGAAGCTAATCACATCAAAGCTAAACCTGAGATCCATAGACACATTATGCGCTGTACCATACAGTTAATTAAAAAACTGAAATCTATGAGAAAGGCAGAAGTACACTGTAACAAAATGTACTACAATTACATTACTGAAATAGCATGTATTTTGTATAACAGTTGCGTTACTCACTTCGATTCAGTGCTAGATTTTGACAGCTCAACTGCTACTCTGGTGCTGGAGTGTTTTTATATTATTCTTGGTATTATCAACTTGCATTATCGCAATAGTATGGCAACATTTTTAAATTCAGTTGGTAAGGTATCACAGCAGTTAATACATTTAAAGAACGTTTTCCATGTTTAGCTGGCAATAGTAAAGATGAAGAATTTTCAAATTCTTTATCTAGTATTTTAGAGACATATCATAAACTACTTGAATTAGATGAGATAGAATCCGGTACAGATGTCGACACACATAAGCTACAATTAGTGATGGTAAACACAATTGCTGCCTTGTCACAGCATGCGCCTTCATCTGGTAGCACCTTATCACAACAGGTAAACTTTAACACTACAATCCATTAAATTTTGATACAAGAGACACTAAGTTTTTTTTATTACTACTTAAAATTTATTGCAAGATTTAAAAGTATTATTTTCAGTTATTACAATGGATTAAGAATTATTTGAATAACAAAACTATCAGTAACAAACAGGTTCTCATTAGTTTCTTCAATATGGCGCTTACTGTGCAAATCAAATTTAAGAGTACCCTGGGATTATTTGAATCCATAGCATCTCGATTAGTGTCCGTTTTAGGAGCAATCAATGAGGTAAATTTAGAATAGTAAATTATGATTATGTGAATTAACATTTCATTGCCTGTATGTCTTTTACCAAACTAACAACCTGCACACTGAAAATAACTGGTATTATTTCATGCCGTTTGCTCACATGCAATTATGACACTACTAGCTAACGATTATTAGTGTGTTGTTTACAGCACGAAGAAAAGTTTGAAGAATTAACTTTAATTAACGAGAGTTCTGCTTTGTCAGTTTATACCTTGTTTTGCACTAGAATTAAGATGATATTGGATGATATAGATTGGATAGTCCTGAGATTACGATCTGAATTTGGAATGCTGAATTATCCAGGAGAAGAGAACACGGACAGACGTATGTATATAAACAATGAAATACAATATTGATCGGAATTGCTTTTTGTTTTGTAGGAAAAGAATACCTTAAGAGCAAGGAAAGAGGCGTCTGTTGCCAATTATGTCCCATAATAACAATTATACATACCATATCTAACACACGTATATCACCTGGAAGTGTGTCTGATACACTGCTAAAGACTATTACTCATCTCTATAGCACATTGACAACATTAACAAAGTATTTTATCTTAAGATCCTCCAAAGTAAACATCGTTTTTCAAGGTGCCAGGTTTGTCACTTTTGTAAATAAAGGCGTCAGCTTATTGGCACAATTTCAGGTTTGAAAAAGTTGTAAGGTTAGCGGGTAAGCAGTTATCATCTATAGTATATGATTACATCGTCTACATAGAAGGTTTTAATAAACAAGCTACCCAAAATACTCAGTCGAAAAAGAAACCGGTGAATGTAGGCGCTCTGAAAAGCAAAGTATTGCGGGAAACGAGATTAATACCAAAAGTGGTATATGAAATGGAACAATTTGGAAAATCTGTTATCCAACTGTCCAAAAAAACTCAGGTTGATTTATCAAAATTCGTTGGTCAAGGAACATCAAGAGACTTCCGAATAAAAGGTTTACAAGCAGTCTTAGATCAAATGCATGACGAAAGTGTGATGAATGAAAGTACAGAATCGGTAGCAAATGACGATCATGGAGATGATACAGAACAACCAGACTCATCAGATCGAGAAAATGAGTCTCATTCTGCAGCTAAGAGAATTCGAAGAAGCTAATGCCTTCTTTTTGAAATTGTTTTATTTGTTCTTTGCGTTAATATTGACTTTGTTTCTAATATTTATTCATATTGTGTAGTTTCTTAGATACATGAATCTAAGATTTTATTCTTGTAATCATTTTGTATTGTACTTTTTTAACTAAACTTATCATGTAATGCTTGTACTTTTAGCACCTCTGCGTGTTTCATTGTGCAATATGTTTGCCGATTATGGGCCACTGATATAGTAATTTTCCAAATAACTAATATCCTTCGACCATTGCAATTAAAGCAACCAACATAGTACAGTATTACAACAGCCCTTTGGCCATTTGAGCTTTCATGCCACAACTACAGTAACCAGTGCTTGTTGCAATCAATGAATTTGTATCTAGGTAGTCATACAGAAGTGCTGCATTGTGGGTAGGATACCCATTACATCAACGATTTCTATTGACGAATTACTACAAAAATGGTTCAGTAGTTATTTGCAACAGGTTGTCTGCATTGTGATCTTTTACTGACAAGGTAGACATTATTATTTGGACATAAAGGAACACGCCATAGCTTTATTTTTTACTGCACTAAATAGAGTTATTGAGAAACGCGACAGCTCTTATGTATTAGTTAATGGTCTTATACATTTTTACTTTGTATGGAAATGGAATAATGAAGCAAGTTTTATCAGCAATTATTGGAGGAACAGATGAATGAATAAACAAAGGTAGAGATCGCGTAAAAAGTAGCTTTTATAGTAACCGCGTAGTACGGGAAGCTTTAAATACTCTTGATTATCTTCTATTTGTCCACAAACAAGAACAGCTTTGCTTTTTTGCCATATCTAAACGATTAATTAATTGACGTTTGTTAATTTATAGGTTGACAGTCTCAAATCGTATCTAATCGGACAACTTCGGACACACTCGGTTACCCTGAAACTCACACACCCAGGCGATGTCCTTGACCATATTTTAGTTACAATTAGCAGTCCATGGTCTAAGATCAAAAGTCAAAACATTGAATTTAATTCAATGGTCAAAATAAGAGCGATTTAATTTGTTATATACAGGGTGCCCATTATGTATGGAATTAGTGTATATCTTGGTAAGTATCGAATGTATATAAAATTTTTCTACATGCGCCATATTTTACGTACCTATCTAGATTCTATTGTACAATACGTCATATCAACATTTATCAATTGTTGTATTGCAGACCTTATGCCTCAGCCACACTATGCTCCTCGCACTGCTCTACGTGCTGTCGCGATGTTTCGCTCTTTGTCCACACACTCCTTTACTCGCCTCACTCCGCATTTGGCATTTACCTTTGCAACACGATGGATGTCGAAACTATTGGCTATGCATTTTTGGTATAGCTAATTACATCAATTTCCTAAAAAGAGATACGTTCTCGTCGTATTCACAAACGCAGATGTTGGATGACATCTATTCGTCATTAAAAAAAATAAGGATCATGCTTTCTGCCAGCGCTTCGCGCGATTATGTGGCCAGTCACTTGCGCTCGTATTGCCGATCCTTTGACTCGCGCCCAAAAAAACCGACAAAACATGGAGCGATTGGCAGAACGAGGAGCATGACGTGCGGCATTGCAAGTGATGTGGCCACACTACGTCTCTGCCTCCTCGTCACGCTACTTCCCATGCTACTCGACGAGTGTGTGGCTGGGGTATTAAAGTCCAACGCTCACTTACCTACGCGTGGCGAAGCGCCTTTTTCGCTCTCTTGAGCAAAGCGCGGTGCGGCGTATATGAAATCAATGTGAGCGAAAAAGGTGATTTGTCACGCTGCGCCTAAGAGGCCTTAAAAGGGGCACTACTGCCTATAGGTAGCGACAGAGTGGAATACCACCCAAATTTTAGCATACAAAGATGAAAGATCATGATCATTGGAAAAAGGAAAGTTTGGTTTAGGTAGTAATAGATTTACACGCTAATCGATAAAATAACTAATAAATCGAAATTCCAAGTTAAACGACAATTTTATTTGTCCAAACAGCGACCTTCGATCATATTCCTATTATCAAAGAAAGCGACAATCTTTATTTTAATCCTTTCACAATGACAGGTTGAACCTTGAGATCGCGCGATTTGAAAATTTGAGGTGCTTGATATCGCTACAATTACAGAGATGTCGCGTGTTTTGTGCGTGTGGTTCCGCCACGGCAATATGAGCTCTTACACGCATGCCAATTGCCGTTTTTGTGTATTACTATTCCTTCTCTAAGATTCATATCTAATGCCATTGCGCGCACCCCTTCCCGTAATTGCAATATAATTACGTTTAAAGGCTTAAAAAGAAGCATTCAGTTTTATAAATTAGATGTTGAAGTTTTATTCATTCTATTTAGATATTTAATGCCTAGCAACCCTAGTGTTTCGGCCGGCCAACTATAAATTAAATTGAATACACAACATTCCTCCCTCTTATAATTTTAGGATGCAAAATTCATGGTGGTTCTGGACATAGGTTTGTTTTCTGTGTCTATGAATCCGAATTTTCAACTTCCCTTCCCACCCAAAATTCCCCGCAACCACCCCCCCCCAACCAAATTTAAAAAAAAGAAAAAATATCGTTTCTTTTTAAATAGCGTTATTTTGTGTATTTTCAGAGATAAACTATCTGGAAATTCGGAAAGTAGACAAAATTTGCGACAAAAAGATCATATCATATTTTGACGTAGGGCGTTCGCGCCTTGATGCCGCACGCACGTCAGGACGATAACGCAGACTGTCTCATCCTTAATACAGAAAATTGAAATGGCATCAATTGATCCATCGGTGATCATTGTCGGCGAAAATATAGATTTATTAGTTCTAGAACTGTACTTGCTCAATCCGCCAATATTTACTTCATGAAGCCCGGCATACTTCAACGCACGCCAGCGCCCCCTACATGCGTAGTACGTAAACATGTTTTAGGACGTTTTTGGTTTCATACTATACTACATTTCAAAGTTGTAGGTATTTTATTCGTGAAACCACAAAAAAAAACGACTTCTATTTTCTTAACATATTTTTTTCTTATTCTCAAGGTTTGGGAGGGTTGCGGAGGGAATTTTTGGTGGGAAGTTAGGAATTTGGATTCAGCAACCCAAAAAACATAAAGTAAATCTATTTCCAGAACTACCATTAATTTTGCAAGCTAAGTTCGTCATATGTTCTCCGACTACAATTTAAATGTCGTATCAAACTAAATTAAACAATCAATCTTGCGCGTCTGGCCTACATTACTCTAATCAAGAATGAAACAATTTGTGATGTGCTGTGACCATCCTTCAGCCCTTCTTAAAAACCAAGAAAAATTGTTATACAAGACTCTAAACGTATGTACGTTATCACAATCATTCTTTGAAAGGAAAAAATCGGAAACAACTGAATACTGAACGATCCTTGAGATCTTTGCACATACATCATTTTTACAACACACCTTGAGGGATTGATTCTGTCCCACCAGATCAGCATTGCTTGTAAAACAAATTTTTGAATCAGCATTAGTTTGAGGTCCGTATAGGTGTACAAAATTTCATTAACAAATAAACAATTTGAAATGCATGCGCAAACAATTTTTTTATCGACATCAGTTTTACTTTTATATGAGGTGCCTTTTACAAAATTTCATGTAATTCGGTTCATAACTAACCGAGATGTCAAAAAATCGGATTGCGCATGCGCAAAATAAATTTTTTGATCGGCATCAGTTTTACTTTCATTTGAGGTCCCAACATACAAAATTTCCTTTAAATACCTATCTTAACAGATAAAAAAATTGGGATTACACAAATACAAAAGTTGGGTTGCGCATGCGCAATTTTTTAAATGTGCATAGATACCAAGAGCATAGTTAAGAATAGAACTTACACTATGCCTAGAGGTTTAAGGAATATTTACTAACACAGAAAACCGGACATTCATATGTTCTTTGTAACAAGAATTATAAAAGAAACCTTTTTTGGGGGTTTCGGCAGTTTTTAGGCTGTAACTTTTTGGCCCGTTAGTCTATGTAGCCGAAAAACAATAGCGACCTTTCTTATATCCTGAAGAACATATGTGTATCAATTTTCAAAGCGATCAGACGAAGTTTCAAATACATAGGTACTTATAGGTAGTATAGCTTTTGTTTTTCCGATTAGCAAAAATCGCATCACTGAACCTCTTTCTATGTAACTTGAAATAAATATATTAAAAAGAATTTCCAACAGTACACAAAAAAGTAGCGTAATGTGAATTTATATTTGAAATAATTAATAATCGCAGCTTATCCAATAATTACATATCCAATTTACAATTATAACCACACCACAAATTAACAACGAAAATTAATTTCCCTAATAGGTAATACACATACTAAAAATAAAATGTACTTACATAAGTTGTAAATGTACTGTTCGATAAATTATTAACTTTTCCACCTGAGGATCTACACATTATATTACCTACAGAAATTTTAATTACGCAACAAAATCAAGAGGTCTATTAAAACCTCCTTTTCTGTTCATATATTGCCTATACTTTCTTTTTAGAATAACATGAACACCTCCTACATCATTTCCATCAACTTTTTTATTCTTCGTAGTGTCAAAATTACAAAATCCCATCATCCTAAGCATATCTTGTTCATCTGGTGTTTTCCCCTCTAAATCCGCCGCAGTAATTGTTGGTTTATCAACATAGTTAGATTTTTTCTTTTCCCTGTCGAGTGATCTCGACCTAGAACGAGAAAATCTTCGTCGATTATCCCTATCATGGGAATGCTGCCTTCTCCTATCCCTTTCTTTGGATCTGTCTCTGGATTTATCTCTTGATCTCTTTCTCCGTCGACGATCTCTTTCACGTTCTCGCTCTCTGTCTCGCTCCCTTTCCCTTCTTCTGGAAGGCGATTTCGATCTGGACCTACTTCTACCCATTACTCACTAAAAATACGAAAGATAAAAAGTGGTATTGCAAACCAAATTTAAAAAAATTAAAATGTCTAGAAAAATGTATAAAAAGAAAAACCTACTTTTTAAAATCTCTGCTGCAACACACAAATTTCTTAAATAAAACGAATTTTTGACATTTTCAATTGACACTGAAAAATGTCGTTTCGTTGTGTTTATTTTTCGTTACGCAAGCGCAAACATCAAAAAGCTTTAAATCAGTGATACTCAAACTGTCGATTGATGGATGCATTTCTTTTCAAATCTTTTTCAATTATGCCTTTTGAAAACTTGAAAAGTGTACGTTAACTAGTACGCAACATTTTATCCAGATGCTACCCCTATTATTCCACCGAAAATATCAGTGTACCGTGCCGTACGTGTTATTTCACATTAGACAGCTTGATTTAATTAGCCGGCATAGCTAAGACAAAATCGGGTCAATCTTGATCTCACAATTCTTTTCCATTTCTTGCCACTATTGACTATATTTGTAGTCCGGACGGGGTTGTTTATGTTAATTCTTTCACCCAAGCTCTAAATATCGTTTCAAGACTTTTTGTCGCTTTTGATGAAGTCAAGCTCGCTCGCGTCACTTGATTATTTTCAAAAAATAGACATATATAATCAGGAGGTCCGGTTCAGACTACTTATTAAGCACGTATTGCAGTTTGCAATTTTTCGTGGACTTTCTGTCCGTCTGCGTACATGATAATAAGTCACGAACGGTTTCGAATTTTCCAATTCCCTTTTCAGTCAAGCAGACAATTGTCTAGACTGTTAGACAAAGGCTTGTTAGTATAATGGTGATCTTTGCAAGGGAAACTTAAATTTATTAAATGAATTTAAAGAACCATCAAAGGCTTATTTCAGTTATGTACGGATATACAAAACAATTTTTAAAAAGCTGCTAAGACTAATATGATATTGAAAAAGAGAATGCAGTGATAAGGGAAGCGATTTTGGAATGAAATAAACTGTACCATTATACAGGGTGGCGTAGGACAAATAGGACTCATTAGTAGGTAATTTCGTTATTAATGAACATTTTTATTTTACATTTTTGTTTAAATGTTGGAAATTGATTATTTTCGACTCTTGCATCATCATTGTTCGATGTGTGCGCCTTTGCCGTGCACGATTCTGCTGAGTTTGGTGATGAACGCATGACCAAATGTGACTGCGGAATTTTGGCCCATTCACGCTGAAGACTTCTGTTGAGGGCATCAAATAACACTGTGTGTGTGTTTTTTTGTGTGCACCTTGGCCTCCTAAATGGACCAGATTTCTATCTAGAGAAATCCGTCGGGTTCAGGTATGGCGAATACAGCGGCCACTCCTGCGATGCAATCAGGCAAGAAACCGGTTCTCGCAAAAATTACTGTGTAGCACGGGCCCTACGGGACTTATCCCACGGTGTCGAATCCCGCAGGAATGTCCACGGTCTGGAACCGAATTTGTTTGCGTGTCCAGGGTAGCAAAGCGTCGTTCAACACCTTTTCGCGGTACACACCTTGACTCCCTGCTCGATGACGAGTAGAGTTCGTTCGTCACAGCAGCTGGTTCTTATTGCTGTCCGGTGGCAACTCCGAACTCAAAATTGTCGTTCGATCTGCCCCGGTAACCAAAAACGATCATTTTGTTTGTTCACGTATTGTTGAATAGTGAAAATCTTGTCGTCAAGAAGACGCGATGTTCGGAAGGACGCCACTTTCGGCTAACCATCTCCGCTGATCTTGCACTTCGTTTCGGACCGCCGCGCCATTAGAGCGTTTATCCACGCTGCTAAAATCAATGTAACTTTTTATGACACGATACACGGATGATTTGTGCACATTCAAATGTGCGCGAGCTCACGATCGATCTGCGCTTTCGAATTTTCGATTTTCCAACCAAATGTAGGCCGACAACAACGGTACCTATTTTGTGTCCATCGCTATGTTTTTGTTCGCTTTATATGCAGTGGAGAAACACGCTAACGCACAACACATAATAGACTAACTATCTGTCAAAATATGATCATATATTTCTGCGTACCCTGTGGACAATGAGCGACAAGGTCACTTTCGGTTAACGACTATTGATCAAAATTTAATCAGTTAGATCCTTGACCATTGTCTACCTATTACTGAAAACAGAATTGGAAAATTCGGTACTGTTCACGAGTTATCATGTACATTGTACACACACAGACGGATGGATGGACAGAAAGTTCAAAATCATGAACTCGCTTCTTGTCGCTCGTTATTCGTTGAAGTTAGATACTTTATGTTTATTTGAGGATTGTTGCCAACTGAAACGCAAATTTTGGTGGTACTTCAAATATTTTTTTCCATAATTGATTTTGTTTACAGGGACAAACCACGGTTTAAATGCACATAGAACCCTTTTGTGTTTTTAAAATGACAGTTTTGTTTAAGAAAAACAACTTTTACATAGTATTACTAATCGTTTATTGTGAGTAATTTTTTGCGGTGCATTCCGTATTTTTGTCTTTTTCTATCATCACTGATGTGCTATAGTTGTGAAAAGAGAATTTAATATGCTGTCTGTTTAGATTAAGCAGGGTGTTCCATTAAAAAATTGAGGTTACGTCCGATAACTTTTTACTTGACCCCGTAGGGCGTAGAGTTATTTTGAAAACGGTAGATTATGCAAAACGCATTCCTGATAACTTAATAAATAAAGAAATTATGGGCTTGCATCTAAAAATCAAAAAATGTAACTTTTGGTCATAAACTCATAACTCAAAAACAAGTAGGCCAGTTTGGTTTTCAACATCTAGTATAAACTAAACTTAAAGAGGCTACGATATCAAGTTTTTTTCTATTACTAGTTTCAGAGTTACCGCATACTAACGACCAAATCTGGCCACCCTGTACAGAGAAAATAATTTATACACAAACGTGAAATTGTCCAATACCCAGCACTCTTCTTTATATTTGATCATTTATGAGCATGCTATATTGCGTCATATTAAGCAATTTTCAATAGCGGACAAAGTGAGGTCTAGCCTGCTCTTGTCCCCGTGTAGCTACGGCCCCGAGTCATCTCCAATTTGTGCTTTTTCGTCATCGTTTTTTCAATAGGGTGGTTCGACATTTTTTGTATTTCTTTTATTCTAACTAAAATTGAGAGAACTCCTGCGTGGCTGAATTTTGTTTTTTATCCTAGGGGCGAAATTAACGACCTTTTGCAAGGCGCGCGTGCGCGTCTTCGAGAGGTAGTCAACTTCGGGCGCCTTTTACCTTCCGTTGCGAATTTTGTCACGCGGTAAATCTCGAATCGCCGTCTCTCTTTCTCGTGTCGCCAATAGAACCTCGAGCAATGAGAAGTGCCCCAAAAATTAAGTACTATCTTGTGGAAGGTTTTTAGCGAAATCCACTAAAATGTGGGTGTAATATAAGTATGCACCGAAAAAGGAAATGTGGTAGCCTCCGACAAAATTTAACTGATGGTGAAGTGAAAACTTCAAACACGAATTTGAGGTGAACGGGGCGTCGGAAGTGGGTACCAACAAAGCAAAGGGAATGTGGTAGCCCCCGAAACGATCCCCCTGATGGTGGAGTCAAATCTTCAAACGCAAATTGCTGGTGAACGAGGGGTCGGAAGTGGATACCGTCAAACGGAAGGTAATAGCCCCGACAAGATCTTCCTGATGTTGGAGTCAAATCTTCAAACGCGAATTGCGGGTGAACAAAACGTCGGAAGTGGATACCGTCAAAAGGAAGGTGATAGCCCCCGACACGATCTTCCTGATGGCGGAGTCAAATCTTCAACCGCGAATTGCGAATGAACGAGATGTCGGAAGTGAGTACCGTCAAAGGGAATGTGGTAGCCTCCGACAAGATCTTTTATTGATGGTAGAGTCAACACTGGCTATTGAAACGCTGATCTGCCACACAAAAATGCGCTGAAGTCCCTTCGATCTCACACGAGGACTTTGATAATTTTTTGAATAATCGACGATGTGGGCACGGTCGGCGTAGTGTCCCTATAGTCGGCGATATGGACCATCAAAAAATCGTGTCGGCGTTGTGGGCATTCATTCGGCGTGTCCTAGATCCCTTCCAACATATATCATTAACGATTCTTATCATAGCCATGTATGAATAGAAAATAATGACCTTGTAGTAATTAGCAGGAAATAGTAAAATATTTATAACCGTCTTATCAAATATCTTTCACCCACAAACGTTAAGGCATAATATTGTAGCATATATGATTTCAAACACACATGACACACTACTAAGCGCAGTATCAATATGTACAGTTTTTTTTTAGCGAATGGTGGTTTGTTACGAAATCGCATTTTTGCATCAGTTTTTCAACCATCTGCTTACTTACTTAGAAATAACCATCATCGCATATGAAAAGCATCTGGCTATACAATATGTATGGAAATATTGGATTGATTAGATGACTAGCAGTTGACAGTTCTCTCTTCAACCAATTGAATAACGAACTTTTCACTCAACGCTTCAACTCAACGTCAACACAAAGCGTTACTGCATACTGGGGCCCTTTTTTTAACTTGGTCCAAAACAAGTTCAAATATTTCAGCCGAGGCTTTAGTTGTTTAATAATGACTGATGGTATCTGCCAATCAAAATTCCTGTATACATTGGTATAATTAGATTCATCACACACACAAGCAATTTCCAACATTGCCATCCATGCGAACCATCACAAACTTTTTCGCAACGCTCCGACAAGGTGAAGTCATTCACAACCGTTATACACTTAGAAGCTCTCTGTGTAAACTTTTTCGTTCTCCACTGGACGTACTCCAACTCTTCAGGCCTATCGTAACGTCTGCACTGCCATTTGATCTATAATATTACAGCGCTATATATACGTAATATACAATAATATCAAACAATAATGATCTCATCAACATGGTTTTGTACAAAGTCGCTCTACAGTATCAAATCTTAGCTATTTTTCTCACTGCCATGAGGTTTTGGATAATCAAGATCAAGTTGATACCGTTTACATGCATTTTAGTAAGGCCTTTGATCACGTTAACCATAATATACCTACTATTGCATAAATTGTCACTCTTTCTGCACACTAGGTACATAGAACTCATTAGATCCTAATTAACCCGTTAACCGACGGAACACTATACGTAACTTACAGTGGTTACAAGTCCAATCCTTATAAAGCTTGTTCAGGGGTCCCACAAGGATCCAATCTCGGCTCCCTGTTGTTTGTTGTATTTGTTAATGATAGCGATAGTGTCTCGTCTCGTCTAACGTATTAATATATGCAGATGATGTTAAACTATTTTCGTCGGTTAGCTCTATCATCAACTGAGTTAATCTTCAAAAGGACCTGAATACGCCGGTTATGATTGGTGCTTGCTTAATAAACTTAACTTAAATATAAGTAAATGTAAATGTATGTCACAAGAAAATGAAACACTTTGATTACCAGTACCTACACTATAAATTCCGTTAATCTTTCGTTTGATAAGGAATTGACATTTAAGTGTCATGTTACAGAGACTATCTTCGACTTATAAAACCTTAGGTTTCATTGTAAGCTTAGATCATACATATGTAAGTATGGGAGGACCTGCACAGTCGAAAATCAACTCTAGTGACTTCTTTGGGAGATGCAATTTTAGGCGCGTGTATCTCTAAAATAGATATGAAGCAGGATTTTAGCTTTGTCGACTACATTGCCTGATCAAGGAGGGCTTGTGTTCTAATAACAGTCTCAGGTACTTGAATTCGAAAACTGTGCGCACTGACCGGTTGTATACGTATCGCCTACCATCGGATTTCTTTGTAGTTGGGAGCTATAAAAACTGCCGGATAGTTTGTTGCTGCCCTCCCAGTCCGTCAGTGGTCTGTCGCCTATTGCTAGCGGACACGATCCACCAGTCTTGTCTGGAATCCAAATTGAATTGTCGGGAACGCATTTCGCAGTGAACGGTTCGTCTTCTGTGGGATCATAATCAGGAAAGAGGATATTCAGAACCACGTCCATCGTTTGGTGTTCGAAAACAATGTATCTATCACTGTCGCGCACATTGGAACAAGGATCGAAGAGAGCTTGTTTTTGAGAAGATATGCAGTAGGTATACTGTTTCCAGAGGGTGATGGTCAATATGCTAGATTCCACGAAATGCTACCAAAATCCAAACTGTACTTTCATCACTGCCAGTTTATATCATTTTCAGGATTTGTAGGACTCATGCTACTCCGCTTTTGAATCCGATGGAGCCCTTTGAAAGTGACGTCTCAATGTGCGCTCTAGGTACTTTTTTCAGCCAGTTCAGTCTTTCACATCGCCAGGTGCCAGGATGTTACACCGACTCGAGCAGTAGGTAAAGATCCCCTTTTTAAGGCATATTTGGCTTGCATGAAGGACCCAACATGTCAGTCCCCATGCAATTTCTACCTCTTAATATTCGCTCCACACAAAGTCAAGAAAGAGGTACGAAAAGGCGAAACCTTTTAATGACTGGCGCAGTAGTTAGTAGTTAAAAAACCATTATCCTTTGCGTAGGTATATTAATATTTAAAAATATCCACATAGTCTGCATTATAATTATCCAATCGTTGGCGTTGATTGAATAACTTATTCAATGAACGATCTAATTGTTAGGTATTTTGCATGTACTAGGACTGTAATGGGAGTCAGGCAAAAATATTACAGTACTAGTCAGGTAAAGATCAACTTTCTAATGTCAAAATAGCCCTGAAATTTAGATTTTCTTGACGGTTTCAGGTAAAGGTTAATAATCATGTCATCAGACGCTAGTAGTGAACAAAATTCGTACTTACTCATATTTCGACCATGTTGCATTTTTATGCCCGTTTGCACCGACAAATTTAACCGGAGCTTAGCTTAAGCGTCCCTTAAAATCCATGGCAACGATTATTGGGACAATGGTTGCCATGAATTTTAAGCTACGCTTAAGCTAAGCTCCGCTTAAATTTGTCGGTGCAAACGGGCATTTACGGTGCAATTAGTCGAAAAAACGGCTTAACCTCAACATCCAAAGTAAGTTTCCCATCAACTGCAAATTGTTCTATACAGTCCACATATTGTTTGGTAAAAAGTTACACCATTTTAAGCGTCGGGTTTGAATGGGAGGAGGGAGGAAAGTTGGTAAATTAGTAGTTTGTGCAGTTTTTCATAAATATTTAGAAAACTATGGGGTTTGGCGAGAGAAGTACGATATCCAAAAGTAATCTACATTAAATTGCGAACAAAAATGGTCTTGTGTAAAATCTTGCCCAAGTGAACGATTCCAGAGTTACGGAGGGTGTAAAAGTAGACATTTTTCGTATTTTTTCGATTTTATGGAAAAATGAAATTATGTTTGAAGTAAAGAACACTGAAGATCTGACTTGTTTTCGTTACCAGTGTTACTTGCAGGATATTTCAAAGCATCCTATACATTCACTGTTCAAGTTGACTGCGCTTCTCCCCACTTCAGCAGGAACATTTATTTAGAACCTACAATCAGGTGTAGCAGTGGCTGCATGAGAAGAAGAACCCGCTGAAGTGGGGATGGAAGATTGTCGGACACCTGAGAGCAATAACAACACATCCTGCAACTCCCCAGGAATTACTGCCCCTCATAGTGGAAGACTTTTTAAAAAGTGGTCCCCCTTGAGAAAGTGGTACCTAAGGTTATCGTTCCTTCAAGAACATATCAGTAACATACCACCGGTCACTAAAGCGCAATTTGTTTTAACAAAAAAATTATTTGCCTTAGTGATAATCTCATATTTTTTCCAAAAGAATCTAAAAAAAAGATGAAAAATTTCTACTGTTACACCCTCCGTTACTCTGGAACGGTTCAATTTAGCAAGATTATATACGAGGCCATTTTTTTTCGCAATTTACTGTAGATTATTTTTGTATACGGTACTTTTCGCACTAAACCACATAGTTTGCTAAATATTTAATAACAACTAATCAAAATTACTAATTTTCCAGTTTCCTCCCCCCTCCCAACCAAACCCGACGCTTAAAATAGTGTACCTTTCTACCAAATAATCTGTGGACACTGGACTGTATAGAACAATTTGCAGTTGGAGCGAAACTTTACTTTGGATGTTGAGGTTTGGGTCTAATTGCACTGTACTATTAGACACATTTTGAAACCGACATGTGGGAAAAAACTAGATTGGATGGAAAACGAAAACTGAAAATTGCAAATCAGAAAAGTAAGAGTAAATGTGTTTATGCTAGTAAATCCATTATGTTATCAACAATATAAATAATAAAAAAACGGTAACAAGGTATTTGTTTTTATTTCCAGTATACGCCTGGACTTGAAGGTTTTTTGTTTATTTATCCCAGGTTATTATGTATCGATTGATAACTGAAAAGAAATGGGCATCTAACAATTCCAAATTGTAATGGGTATAATTACATTTTGTGCTTTTTATGGGTTTGGTATACGTGCGCAAACCAATATTAATTGAAATACTCGTATTGTGTCATGTGTAAGCAACTGTTTCAAACGCAGGATTTATGTAGGTACACAAAATAATCTTTGGATGGATTGATATTATAGTTTTCTTCGTATTTAATAAAATTTAATTAAACGGCTATTATATGCGCATTGAAGATAATAAAATTCTCTACAAGTAAGCTTCAGTGCAAAATTTGCGTAAATCGCACCATTAGCCTACAAACACTAAAAATATGTGATTCTCCCATAGGCTCATTGCTCAATGATAAATTTGGAAAAAATTGCGGATATGAGCATATGGCCACATTGTCTCTATAAAATCGCTAGATATTTACTATTAAAGTCACTAAATATAGAAAGTATCGCAATCATCCGCCATTTTGGGAAAATTTGCTGCCAACTTAAAAAAATTGACAAATAAAATCTGAATAGCTGTAATTTTTTATAACCTAACTTCATAGTACTGTCATGTTTTATAAAAATCATTGAACTATATACCCTGTATATATATACAGAGTATATAGTTCAATGATAAAAATATATACAGATATCTCCAAACAGGTGGAACAATTCCTAACATTAAAGTTACTAGAATCTGGTAACTTCCGCCATTTTTGGGCAAAAATCATGCGTTCTCTCTCTAACACACGAGCCCAATGGATTGCGGTACTTTCTATATTTAGTGACTTTATTAACTATGAATGGCAACCGCCGTCTGTAATATTATTTTTGTATTAATTTCTGCTTTTTTCTTATCAAAATGAAACTTCCTCATGTGCAAATTCTGATCATAACCATTATAACTAAGAAGAAATACCTACAATTTTTTAGAAATTAATGTTGTTCAGTGTTTTTTTAATTGTTACGCGGAATTTTCATAAATACCCAAAACTTCGCCTCTTTAACGTAATTTTTTTCTTCAAAAATAACACAGTTACCTGCACAATCGTACACTGTATTTGTATGAAAATTAGCCTCCAACATTAAACGAACGTGAGTTAAAAGTCTTGCTAAAATTTTTGTGACATCCTGTACAAGGACCGACTTGAAGTATACAAGCGAGGCACTCTTTGATACAAGGTATAAATTATATACCTATTGAATTGATAGGTTTCTGCTCAGAGAATTACATATACGGTGCTACTTTCTCCGGTTAATTATGAACGTACCAATTTGCATTCATCAATCAATTAAAATTATGCAAGTTAAACGAAAGGAAACGTTTTGAGAACTGCATGTTCGAATGATGATGCGTGCGCATTATCTCTCATTCTTTCTCATGTCGGAGGTGAATCGTTGAACAGGAATAAGTAGTTTACGCTATCGAATTCGGGTTCTGTATTTGCGATTTTAATTTAAATGAAAAAATAGTGAGTGTGGCCATACTGCGGCGGCGACTCGTTTCATTTTTTCGAATTCAACGAACTTTACGATTGTGTGAACTTTTTTCCGAAATAATCGATGGGGCGTAGGCTGTGCATGTCTGCACGATAGTCGTTAATGAGTAGTAGCGTTTTAACCTCTCTGTACCGTGTTGTGTTCAACGTGAAAAAGTGTTCCAAACGTCTGATTTTTAAGGAATAACGTCCGTACAGGTAATAGTTTTTTTTAACCCTTTGTTCGTTCTCACACCTACATTTGTTTTAATTATGTTAAAATATCTCATTTTAAATGCTTGAGGGGTGTGTCATCGCCTAATTCGGATTTTTAACGCTCTTGTTCAGTCCCATCTCTACGTGTTTTGCACTTACTACATATTTTTTTAATTGGGAATGGGCACCTTTAATTTTATCAATGCAAACCATCTTCAAGAGCAGACGGTCCCTATATCTTTTAATATCATTAGAACATTTCCAAAAATAAAATTTAATTTATAGGTTTTAGTTGGAAAACGTGCGTTTTCCAGAATTATAAATGCATAATAAGTTCTAATTATATTTCCTTCAGAATTCGGTACTTTAGGTACGATTGATCAGTCAGTATGTTCATGGCTTGTACCGTGCCGAAAATGCAGACAATTCGATGACCTTGGCTAGATTAAATTATCGATCTGTTACATAAACTCTATTTTCATTAATTTTACATTTACATAATTTACCAAGCGCATACAAGTTCTTAATTTGCCGGCATTTCCTCGTTATGTATTGGTTAATCTGTGGTATTAGTCACTCTAGTAGGTAGGTATACGTATAATGTCTAGATTTCTGGAAAGTTTTTTGTTTCACGCAGTGGTTGCGCGGTTTTCGATCAGATGCTGCGCTACTAAAGCGATAGGGTTTTTGTCGTTTTATTGACGCAAAATGTAATCACAGAACACAATGACCTCCGAATAAGTAATGTAGGTAAGTGCATTTTGATCTGGTCAATCGCGCAAATCAATCTCTTCCGAGCAGTATGCATCCTGATGGAGCTGGAGACAGAAAGGTTTAGTCTTGGGTTTAGTCGAGTTCTTCCGTTATTAAAGTTATTAAAGTAAAGAAATATATAGAGTCTAACAATTAAAATGCATAAAAGCATTTTTCCAAATATGTAAACCGAATGTCCAAAATGGATAGCTTGGGAACCATGACAGATAAGGATTGAATAGGTTTGTCTTATTTAATTTTGCAAAAATTTACCCAAAATCCCTACTTCAAGGTGTGGACCTATAAATACAGGGTGCGAAAAAAATCAGATCTCGACGAAATTTGGTATTTGTACTTTTAAACGTGAAAATAACGAATCCAAACCTAGTTTCATGTACTGGCCAAAGATGTATGTAGTTTTTTCTGCAACTACATTAAAGCCGTCTTACACTATGCAATTTGTTGCGCAAGAAATTGCACAATTTCTTGTGCTATAAAATGTAGCAAATATTTGTGAGCTGACTGCTTTATACTATGCAATTTCTTGTGCAAGATATAGCCGAGGATTCTGCGCATTTATACTATAATTTATACCAGCTGACAATCATACAACCCCAACCTATAATTACCACAAGTTTTCAATAATTTATTTTGTTTGTTATTGTATACAATGAATGTGGAAAGACGAATATCTGTTGTCAGTGGATTGATCGGTATATGTGTAATTCGTAAAATTCTAAAAAGACGCGCTGCCAGAAAGAACAAAAAGAGAAAATTGTGGCAGGAAGAATGGTTAAAAAAAAGAGATGTGGGTAAAGGAGTTTTATCGCTTTTGCAAAACGAGTTACTTCATGAAGATCCAGATGCATATAGGAATTTCTTACGGATGGATAACGATACATTTATGGAGCTTTTAACCCTTATAGATGATATCATTAAAAAACAGGATACTCAGTTACGACAAAGTATCCCAAGTGACAAAAGGTTGGTACACTGAAATATTTCTCTACAGTCTACATATTACCTAATTTACCTTTCATTAGTACTAAACTGCTAACTTATTTCCAGATTAGCAGTAACACTAAGGTATTTGGCCAGTGGAAATACGTTTAGAGACTTAATGTATGCAACAAGAATACATGAAAGTACCATAAGTATTATTGTAATGGAAGTGTGTAAAGCTATCATACAAAACCTAATGAAAACATATATACAGGTGTAAAATTGATTCATACGTTGGCTGTTTATTATCTTTATATTTTAGTTGCCTCGAACTACTCTGGAATGGGAAAACGTGGCCAAAGGGTTTGAAAAACTTTGGAATTTTCCCTTTTGTCTTGGCGCCTTAGACGGAAAGCATGTCAATTTTCAAGCTCCTAAAAGCAGTGGATCCTACTACTTTAATTATAAAGGATCCCACAGCATAGTGTTACTAGCATTGGTAGATTCGGAATATAAGTTTTTATATGTAGATGTTGGAGTCAATGGAAGAATAAGTGATGGTGGAGTATACAGAGAAAGTAGTCTAAAAAAAGGCATTGATAGAAACCTATTAAACTTTCCAGAAGACCGTCATTTACCAGACACTGCCTTAAGTGTGCCATATGTTATTGTGGCAGATGATGCTTTTCCGCTATCAAAAAGAATAATCAAACCATATCCTTTAAGGGGATTGTCTGTGGAAAAACGAATTTTTAATTATAGACTGTCCAGGGCAAGACGAACAGTAGAGAATGCCTTCGGCATCTTAACAAACAGATTTAGAATTTTGCAAAACACAATAAATTTAAGCCCTGAAAAAGCAGAAATACTTACGCTAACGTGCTGCATATTACATAATTTCTTGGCTGTAAGAAACAAGAAGTATATTCGACCAGAAAATGAAATTAATGAAACATGTAGTTTAGAAACCATATCACAGCAAGGTGGTTTTAGAGCAAGTAATGAGGCTCTGCTTACAAGAAACAAATTTTGTGATTATTTTAATACTGTCGGAAGCGTTGAGTGGCAAAATAAGTCAATTGGATTAGTTTAGGTTCTATTGTTCACATGTGCTCTACAGTGATGATTATGTAATAACGTCAAAATAAAACTGTATCGGTGTAATAAGGATAATTGTAATATAGGTACATAACATAAAATATCTTGTAAAATATTAACTCAATAATGCCTCGTGCAAAACAGTATGAATATTATATTGCACTGTCAATCTTTTGTTTTCATTTCTTATTTTTTTTAGTTGTGAAGCTACAAACTCCCCAAATATATCTTCACTGCTTTTGAGACCTGGCTTAAGCGCATCAGTAATTCCCTCAAGGCTTGAAGACACAGCTTCTAACACTTTTAGGTCTGGGTCTTCTGCCTTTTTACTTTTTCCTTTTGCACCTGTTGCAGATGAAGACCTGTTATCAACTGAAAGACTTCTTTTTTTTAATCCACCAAGTCCAAGTTCCAAATCATTCTGATGACAAGATGAGCCACTTCCCGCTGATGATGGTCTGGTGCTAGGTCTGGTGTCAACTGAAATGCCTTTTCTTTTTAACCCACTGCATCCTGACCTCTGATGATCTGGTATTAAATCTGAGGAAATTTCTGGTGATAAAGGTACCAATACTCCTTGGTCATCTACTTCATACTGTTCCACAATCTAAACATATAATGTTCAACTTTTGATGTGAAAGAATGTAGCTACTTACAGTTTCATTAATTGATGAATCCAGTAAATCTTCCTCCTGTGTTTGTGATGTTTCATTGCCCTCCTCGGGCAATAAAAAGTTTGAATTAGATTTCCTGACTACAAGGTGGTCGTCCAGGAAATCCATTTTTTCATAATACCACAGCGACGGATGGTAAACCTAGTTAAATGGTTACGTTACTATTATTATACACTATAAAGTGATACAAACTACCTCATTTTCGGCCATTCCACTGTGTATACTCGCTAAATGTTTCCTTCTCTCATTTGCGTACGTTGTCCTTAATCCATGAAATTTTTTTTGGACATCAGCTTCTGAGGTAACTGGTCTTATCGGTTTAATGTTATTAAGTATGGTTAGCAGAGCAGCATTTCGGACATGCTTGTTGTGGTAGTTTTTGTCCTTTACCACATACAAACACGGATGCATTTTGTATAAGTCAATAAGACAAGAAATCTGTTCATGTGTCCACGACATTTTAACGCAAAACTGGCAACACAAATAACTAAATGAAGGAATTAACAAGACAAGACAGATTTTGTCAAACAAAACACCTCGAAAAACACTAAACAGCTGATCTGAAAACACATGTTCAACGAGCGGCGCACGCGCATTTTAAAATTGCATTGAAACTGGCATAAAAAATAGCACCGGTTCTATTTTTGATGCAATAATTTGTTGCAATGTAATTTTGCATGCAATTTCCTGTATGATACTATGCAATTTAAATTGTGCAATATATCTTGTGCAAGAAATTGCTCAGTGTAAGACGGCTTTTAGAAACAACTACTTTCATCTCTAAAAAGGGTGAAGAAAATGTGATTTTCAGCTCTAGTGAGGAAAGTAAAAACAGTTGCTGCGTTAATCTTAATAATGACATATAAAATTGAAATATACCTGTATCTAGATTGCTATGTGTCAAAACACGAGGTCAAACATCTTTATTGCATACGATTAATTTTTCAATTTTGATTGTAGTTTCAGAACAAATTATGTGTAAAACTTGAGAAGAACGTGTTTCAACTCTCGTTCAATTGACACACTCACTATACCGAGCACTACGCTCATGTATCAAACCTCGTGTCACACTTTGAACTCGAGTTGAAAAACCCCACTTTCTTCACTAGTACAAATATAATATATTGTAATACTACGCGATTAAAAGTGCTGCTGCCGAGGCATCTTTGGAATTTTTGCTTACATTTTACATGAGACAGGCAAAGGCATTTTTGATCGCCCGTATATTGTACATGTTTTGAAAAGCGCAGTTTCACACGAGTATGACTAGCCGTAAATTGAATGTAGCTGAAAAAACTGGAGGAAATAATGGTACTATAAATATTATAGACAACTAGTTCTTGAAAATAAATTACCAAAAAACAACAAAACGGAATGTTGCAAGGGGTTCGACGCCAGGTTACCGAAATTAATAAACGTGTAAACAAATCAAGAAAACGAGCTTCTGGGTATGACTATAGCATGTGCAAAACCAAATTGTAAACCTGATGTTAGTTTTGCTTTCATTTAAAGTGTTATGTATGAAATTTCACTTTAATTCCAAGTGGCTCTGTTTCTAATTTCATTTAAATGCCTCCATAAATAAGAAAATTGGCACTGCGCATGTGCAAAACCAAATTTTCAAACTGCCGTTAAATTTCCAAGTGGTTATGTATCAAATTTAATTGAAATACCTACATAAATAAGAGGCTCAACTTTTGAAATTTCGTTTTATATGGCATATATCAATATGCGCATATTGAATTTCATACAATTCGGTTCATAACTAGCGGAGATGAGATGCCAAAAGGGCCTTCTTTATTTTTAAGCCTTGTTTACATTTGGCAAGTTTACTGGCGGAAAGTACTTTCTGCCAGTAAATTTGATACCCTATTTCTATTTAACTGGCACTTTCCGCGCATTTACACGTGGCAAGTTTACTGACCGACAGTACTTTCCGCCAGTAAACTTGCCAAATGTAAATTAGGCTTTAGGCCAATATTGCCAATTCATGAACTCCGATCTACAAATTTGATTTAGAATCCACCTGCAAAATTTCATCGTAATCGGTCCATTCGTTTACGAGATATCGTGCCGACAGGTGCACAGACACCGCAAAATTATAAGCTCGCTAGGAGCTCGTTAATAATATGTATACAAATTGATCCATGACAGTGCAATGAAGACGGTCATTTTGACGTTCGCAAGAGTACGTGCCTCAGGATTAAAAAATGTATTAACCGCTTTTTTTTGTTTGTAATTTTTTTGTCAACGCCTTCTAGAATTTTTCGGTATAGAATTCTACGGGGTGTCAGGTGTTCTCGAACTCTTTCTGTCTTTTTAGTTATGGGAAATATTTTTAAACGGAACACTATAATATGGCATAATAAAACTATAGTATACTGTCTGTTTTTGAGGATAACGAACATTATTTTCCTGTTTCTAATCTTTCCTAAAGAACATTAAAAGATTCTTCCTTAGGATGACGGATATCTCGAGGGATTGATCATGAGGGACATTTATCGGAAATTTCGAGGAAATTCTGGGAAAATATTAGGATATTTTGAGGAAATATCAGGAAATCTAGAGGAAATGTTAAGGTAATATAAGGTTTCTATAGGGAAATAACCTCGGAAATAACGTTACTCAGTTCATATTAATTCGTTAATTCGGAGTAAGTGTAAATTTGGGGAAATTTAAAAACCGAAATACATATGTAAAATATAAAACTCACACAAAGTACACAAAAACAAAGATAATTAAATATTCATAAAAATTAGGTTCGGTGTTATCGAGGGTGTTATTAATTTTGAAAAATTTCGATATCACAAAAAAATGTTATTTCTCTACGGATTAAATTCGGTATTTGCACAAAAAAATAAAATTAAGAAAAATTGAAAAAATTAATAATAAGTAACTCAGTTAAGAAACACATTCGAGAACTTCAGAAAACTTCCAACATAAAATCAGAAAATTTAGAACAAGTCGCAACGTTCGCAAAGATACCCAAAAACGAAGATAATTAAAAATTTATAAAAATGGAGAAAAGTGAAGATAGAGGTAATTTTTAAAAATTTCGTCATTTCACAAAAATCTTTCTATTTTCACATTTTATTTTTCTGCAGAAGAAATTCGCTATCCGTCCAAAACAATATATTAAGAAATCTCGGAATCTCCGTTAATAGTGACCGAACGAGAGGTCGAATAAATGATTCTCAAGAAGATGTATAGCGATGAATACCGACTTACGACACTCTGTTCTCAAGATATTTCGAGAGGTATTCGCATTTGATCTCGCATTTGATACTTGACTTATTACGAGCTCCTATCGAGTTTATAATTTTGCGGTGTCTGTCCGTCCGCTAGCATGATAACTTATAAACGAATGGACCGATTACGATGAAATTTTGCAGGTGGATTCTTTTATCAAATTTGTAGATCGGAGTTCGTGAATTGTCAATGTAGACAAAAAATAAAGTAGGCCCTTTTGACATCTACGTTAGTTACGAGGTTAGTTATGAACCGAATTGCATGAAATTCAATATGCGCATAGCTTTAGCCTCGGATTTAGCCATATAAAACACAATTCCAAAAGTTGACCAGTGCCAACTTTCTTATTTATGGAAGCAATTAAATGAAATTTCATACATATGCACTTTAAATAAAAGCAAAACTAACATCAGGTTTAAAATTTGGTTTTGCACATGCTATACCCGAGGCCATACCTAGGAGCTCGTTTGCTATATTTGTTTAATTTATTGGTTTAATTTATTTCCATTTGATTTCCGGAAATGTGTTTAATTGTTTTTACCAAAAGGACATAAGGACATGTCCACTAGATTCACTTTTATAAGATGTTTCTGTAATTAAAATTGTTAAATTGTCTTTAGTTGTAAATAATAAAGTTGGAATGCGCTTGCGCAGAAACGGAAACTGCAGCTTGTACATGCTTCTACGAATTCCCAGTGCTGAGATCTCAAATCTTCAGACGGACGGAATGCACGCAAGCAAGGACCATGTAAATGCATCTACGACCAACAAAATACCAAACAACATTTTTGCCACATGGAATACTTAATTGTGAGTAGAACTAAATGCGTTCAGTGGATAACGTAAACCCATAAATTATTGCCGAAGCGGTGAATTTAACTTCACGTTGAAACGCTGCATAAGATTTGTAGGGCAAATCTGTCACCCCAATGTTTTGCGGACTTATTATTAGCGGTAGGAAGAGAGCAGATCTCTCATCTAACAGAGACATCTTTTCTAGTGTAATTACAACCCCGCAGGCCCGCACAGCTTGTATTGTACTAATTCTTAGCACTAATCATATTTCCGGAAAAATGTATTGCAGAATATTGACCTCAAACTGAAGATTGCTAAAACAACTTTTTTATTTTTATCCATTATATCATCGGATCGTGAATAAACAGAGATTAAAATGCGTTTCTAAATTTACAGCGTCAATCCAACGAAGTAGGTACCGTACGCGTATTGGCATTCTGTACTATTATCATTGAATATTTATTCAATGCTATTATTCAGAGCAGCCTGCTCTGGTCTGATTCGCAGTATACTATGACTTCACGTTATGAGCAATTTGATAATACATTATATACTGCGATTCAGAGCAACAATATAGTTTAGTGCTCGGTTTAGTGTTTGTTTTTATTACTAAAATCAGCCAACCACTTGTCGTACCACACACTGTTAATATCTTTACCCCTTTTTTTTTTTAAATTTCGCTTTAAATCCATGTTGTACTAGTTCCAAATATCCGATCATTGAAACGTATTCTCGTTGCACATTTCAACCAATACCTCTTTATAGATCATTTTAGTGCAGTTTGAGAACCTTGATTACACACAAATAACAAAAAATATAGTGTTCTTGCAAAGGTAACAATAAAAACACACTTCTTGTAAGCAAAGAATAAGTTACTCTTTGTTGTAAGTGTATGACGTGCTTTATAGAAACCCATTATATACAGTGTTTCAGAACTCTAAAGTTTAAACCATATCGGTGCTCTGAATCGCAGTACATAATGTATTATTAATTTACGCATAACGTGAAGCCATAGTATACTGCGAATCAGACCAGAGCTGCTCTGAATAATAGCATTGAATAAATATTCAATGATAATAGTACAGAATGCCAATACGCGTACCGTACCCTAAGTTTCGTGCTCAATACTGAGATGCAAGGTGATTCATTTTTTGAAAAAAATATCTGTAACAGTATTTCAAGGTTAGTTTGTTATTGAAATAACACACATCCCGATTTTTAAATGTAAATATTTGCACGCCCCCCGAGACGCCCCCTTTGTTTCCTAGTGAACACCATTTATTATCTGGTAACCGTAAGGAAGAAATTAAGTAGGTCAATGGGGATTAATTAAGGTCGTTCAAAATTGACCGTGCGAATTATTTTTCAATAACACATTCTTGCGTAATTATCCTGGTTCTACTGAACAGCTCGCACGCAACCCTTTGTATGATTTGATCTCGGATTTGATTCTTAAAAATCACAAGACGACTCAAAAATTGGTATTTCTCGGCAAGGAATTTATTTTAATGCCTGATGTTCAGTGTCTAAAACGTATTTCTAATCTTTCTGTTAAATTTGATTACCTATGTAACATAATACGATTTAATCTCCGATTTAATGCCGTCATATCGAAAAAAGTAGGAATACTCTTTTTGGGAACATGTAATGAAAACTAGTGGTTGTCCCCATTGCAAACTTTTAATA